GAAATGGGTTTTTATCACTTTTTCTGCTTTATTTTTCATCCAGGAAAATTAAGGTACTTCGTACCAAAATATGACTGATGAAGGATAAGTTAAACTGTAACACTGGAGAAAAGAAAGTGAGAATTAAGCAGAGAAGAAACAATGTAATGAATGAGATGAAATATAACTCTTGTTCTGCTATTGGTGGAAAATAACCCTGTAGCAGACAGTAACTTATATTAAATATATTTTTTGAACAGTTTGACACCTCTCTCCTTTCAATTAAAGCAAACACCAAATACTGTTTGAGGTTGGCAGGAGTTCTTTCTGGAGAATTGGGAGAAGGAGARAACTAAAAAGTCCTGCAGCTTCCTTTCATCTAATTTAACAAAGCAGAAAAAGGCAAAGCTCAATCCCCTGAAACTCTTAACGGGCTCTGTGTTAATAACATTAAAGTAAATTACCTTTTTACCAGGTAAGATAAATTCCTTTTTACAGGAAAGATAAATCAGTGACTCTTGCTACAGGAATTGGGGGCACCTCAGTGGTGCTAATTGCATGAGATGACACCGTTTTTCTCCTGAAAGGGGTACAAATCAAACATTCATTTCCATTTTAAAGCTGCCTTTGCTTTACCTGCCCACAAAGCCATTGATGTCGTCGTAGCTGTCGTAGATCTCCAGGAAATCGGCCATGCAGGCRGTGTCATCCTCCACATCGAACTCCAGGAACTGCAGCTGGATCCTCTGGCCGTACTTGACTCGGATGTGCCAGTAGCAAATCTGCTCGTTCTCGTACTCATTTGGGTAGCCTGGTGACTTAAATACGTGTTTGGAATCTGTGAACACTCCTCCACACTCTTTCCCTGAAAAAGAAAGAAAACAAGCAGAGTTTAAGTTTTAATTCTGGCTGTGGTTTGAATCTTCAGGCATCTTGACCCAGGGATCYGTCAGAAATCACCCAGGAACATCCAGAGTGATAAATAAATTATTTTTCAGTATTCAGGCACTTGGATGTGGTTTGGACCTTCAGCCTTTCCTTGCTTTGGGAAGAAGGTATTTTGGAAGAAAGAGACATGATCCAAAACTCACTGAATTCACAGGAAAAGCTTTAAATTCCTACAGTGGTTTTGGGGCCAGAGCTGTGTGTTTTATGTAAAAGGCATTTGGGATTTCTGGCTCTGTCAAGCTTTCCAGCTGTACATGCAAGTCCCACTGACACTCAGGTTCATCCTTTCTTCTTCAAAAACCTTTTGAATCTGTGTCTTCTACCAAAAAAAAAAAAAAAAAAGGCTGATGATCACACACAGGGTGTTGTACTCCTGTTGTTCCTGCAGCTCTTTAYTCCCTTCGGGATAAAAACACTTCTGCTTTGATCCAGAGGCTCTTTGGGTTTTGCCACTCCCTGACAGTGGGGCCAACCAAACCAGGCACTCATCCTGCCTGAATTT